TGTATATTTTCTCTTTTCGTGCTGACATTGCGAAAGTTAATTGCTTGGAGTCCGAAAGTCGACGCTCGTTATCTGCATCGCGAATGTTCTCTGCCTCGCGCTAAATTCCATCCAGCGTTCGCGGTCAAGATTTCCGTTATCGCGAGAGTTTCTAGCAAGAAGCTCTTAATCAAGAGATTTCCGAACCGCGCAAAAGGGCAGTAATTAACAGGACAATCAAGATATCCGTCGGAACCGCGGAATACGTGCTGTGGCTCGCTCCTATTCTTATAAATAAAACGAAATCAAAATCATCTGCATTCGAATCTTGTTTATCAACACCTTATCCTCCAGCGAATCCACGGATTCGCGTTACACACCGCTTCTCGCTCATCTCTGAGCGTCTCTCTCAGTTTCGGGCGATCTCGTCGAGGTCGACTCCCGAACAATATTATATACAAAATGTTAGAAGTATAAGAAAAGAACTGCGAGGTAATATAACATTGAAATGTTTGGATGGAACTGATTTTGAACGTGTGGAAATAATGAAATACCTAGGCATAATTATTGACGATAGACTACGATTTAAGGACCACTGTGATTATATGCTAAAGAAAATAGGGGAAAAAAACGAGTTTTTTAAATAGAATAGGTAATTATATATCGGCATACACTAGATGTATTGTATATAAGACAATTATAACACCTCACTTTGAGTATTGTGCGACGCTGTTAATTGATATGGGAGAAACACAGCTGAATAAATTGCAAAAAGCACAAAACCGGGCCATGAGGATCATATTGCAATGTGATAGACATACCAAAGTGGAGCGTATGCTGCAAGCGCTACAGTTTATGTCCATAAAACAGAGGCTATATTATAATGTGTGTATATTTATTTTTAAGATTTTAAGGAACATGCTACCGGAGCAATTAAGAAATAGATTAGAAATTGTGGGAAATGAGAGTGAAAGGCAAACACGACAAGCTGGGAATATTGCAATAAAATATCGCAGAACAAGGAGTGCGCAAAAGAGTATGTTTTACGAAGGAGTAAAAATGTATAACGCCTTGCCAGCTGAAATAAAGCGGAATGAAAGAATTGTGCCGTTTAAGCGAATGTTAAAGGAGTATATTGTAATTAATGTAAATTAGATTTGTATTACGAATAGCTGAGAAAGCTAATAAAGATCAATCAATCAAAAAAATATCTCCCCCCTCTCCCCCCTCTCTCTCCCTCTCTTTATCTCTCAATCTCCCTCTCTCTCTCCCCTCCCTCTCCCTCTCTCCCCCTCTATCTCCCTCTCCCTATCTCCCCTCTCCCCTCCCCCTCTCTTTTCCCTCTCCCCTCCTCCCCTTTTCCTACCTTCTTCCCCCTCCCGCTCTCCTTCAATCTTTCTCTGTTAATGTTTCAAATGTTTGTTTAAGATCTATAAAAATTATCCCCACCATTTTAACCTCATTAATTACCAATTTCCATCTGTCGATAACGGTTCGAATGGCCGTTTCATACGAATATTGGTTTTTAAAGCCCGATTGATGTTCCATTATAATACTATTATTATATTATTATTATTATTTATACCATTTCATATACATTGCAATTTGCTTTTTTACTATTGATTCTAACACTTTTTCAAATATTGGCAGCATATTAATAGATCTATATTCACTTGTCTTTTTAGCTTTTTCTTTTTCTTTTTAGGATAGGTATTATCGTGAATGTTCTTTAACTCTCTGGACAAAAACCTTTCTTCAAGAAATCGTATACTATATCAACAAACTCTTTTTTTATTATGCAAAACGCTATTTTTAATATATCATTAGTTATTCCCTTTTCCATGCTTTTCTTTTTTGGCACTTTCATAACAATTCCTTCTAAGCACTTTACTTTAATCATCTCAAAATTTTCCATAATTTCTTTATTTTCAATAACATAAATAATTCTTTTATTCGAACTCTGAGACTTACCACCATTTATAAATTTGACTATGTTATTAATATCCTGTATATAGTACAAATTAGATTCAGTTATATTGCATCCATTCATATTGTCTAATATTGCAAATATTAAATTCTCTGTTATAGCTCAAAAAGGTTATACACAAATGATTATAATATTTATTACTATAATATTATTGTTATTTTATGGTATATAGTATATTCTTTCTTCTTTTCTCTGATTAATTTGCATTCCTTTTAATTTTAAATTGCAACCAATTTTGCTCCGCATCGTCGTACAATGCTTTACTATAAGCTTCATCTCTTCTAGCCACTGCTTCTTTATAATTCTCTATAATCTAAAAACTATCGCCGTCGACGTCTTTTTCATATCTACTTCTTTATCACTTCCGATTATAAATTTCTCAAATGGGCTATGACGACACCAATTCGCGGTTTCTATCATAAATTTTCTGCTTACTTACACATCCTGGATGATAAAAAAACTTAACACAAGTCTTGCATGTCAGACATGACTTTTTATTGTCGTCTTTCATCGTACTCATCATCCATACCAATAATTATGGACCGAAATTGTTATTGTCAACATAAACATCATTATTTTTGTTTTTACTTCCACATGTCAGCACTTTTTCTTCTACCTTTGTTTACTTCAGTACTTTTAATGACTACCTGTCGAGACCTCAATGTCTCATACAGAAAGTATCACCTTTACGCTCATAAATCAGTATATTCCGACTAGATAACATTAATTGTTAATTCCGGTCTATGTAATAATGACTTTAATAACATTTTATCACTCTTCTTAACTATTTAACCACTTAAAAGTTCACACTTTTATGGAGTACGATTATGTCTATCCTTATCAAGTTAACAGATTGCCATCTATTGTAACCGACAATTTTTAACCTAAAATTAATCTCTTGCTTTGTTTTATTCTTATGTTTCGATCTCGCACATATGCACGAAAGTTTTCAGTATTGAAATCTTTTATACTACGCTTCTAAACTCATTTCTACAAGCTCATTAATATTCTTTCATGTGCAAGGTAAATATGCATAAAAGGTCACACCTCACCGATTTAATCGCCACTTAGATATGTTGTAGAGTTCTGAGTAATTCCAGCAAGAATCAAGTAGCGATCGGAATTGATTTAGGAGATATAACAAATTAAAGTTTCATAGTTTTAATGTTTTTCCTCAGGTATTATAAAGTAATATTAGGAAAAGTGAAGTTTGTGTACATTGTATTTGTTTAGGATAGACATGGAAAAAGTATTTGTTTACATTTACGGGATAGGTACACGATCATAAATATTTTGTCAATAATGTATTTCTCGCAGTTTGTTAACAGTGGGTATTATAAAGTAATATTAGGAAAAGTGAAGTTTGTGTACATTGTATTTGTTTAGGATAGACATGGAAAAAGTATTTGTTTGCATTTACGGGATAGGTACATGATCATAGATATTTTGTCAATAATCGGTTTCACCTATTTCTCGTAGTTCGTTAACAGCTTTCAATATGCGACTACATGAATTTCTGAGTCATGTCTTCAATTTTATTTTTAAAACTGAAAATAGGTTTGGGTTAGGTTATGTCTTCCGGAAGTGGAGCCCTCCCCGTAGGAGGGGAGAGGGCGGAACCTACTGTGTCCACGCATATCAAGAGACACGGTAGTGTCTCGCGCCAAGTCACGCGAAGCAAAGACCGCGCGTAGTAATAGCGAGGCACCCCGGGTATCTATACGCGAGTCGGATAGTTGAGAGTACCTTAGATTACCAGATCTGAATAACGGCTGAACCGGTCGAATTCTTGATAAGCTTAATCGACCCATACAGCACAGAACATTGCAATTACATTGCAGTAATGTTACAATCTTGCAAGTTGCAATGTAATGTTGTTGAGACATTATTGGAACATGTAATTGTAATATTTCATGAGAATGTTACAGCAACATTCCAAAAGCATTACAAAAACAGTTTTCAGTAACCGCTAGTTTGTTCGTTTACCGCCATACGGCGCCCGTTGCATTATATATCTCGCATTTAAGTTTCAGTCCCGAAGATTATATAAAGCTTGCAAAGAGCGGCTAGTAAGATTAAAGATATATAACTGTTTTTATTAGCAGAGATATTATGAAGCAAAGTCGAAATGTGGAAATTTTTTTCATGTAAGAAACGTCTTCATCATCATCATCATCATCGTCGTCGTCTTCCTGGTCGTCGTCCCTTTACTGCTATATATGTACACAACACATGCATAGAATATAGTGGTATTATGCTACACGTATATATACACGTACACAACACACATGTAATAATGGCAATGTATTTCTTGTACGGTTGGCGTCTTTGACGAAAGATTGCGCTAACGGCGCTTCGATGTTACTGCTTGCATGCATCCATACTTACTTTTGACAGGTATAGATTAAGTTTGCAAAATGCCGAGTGCAGTGTTCGTATGCTTTCATTTATAAAAAAGTGAAGATGCAAAATTCTTCGTAATACTTGTGGATAGTTAGATCAGGTATATCTCATTTATAAGTCTTACTTTCTGTCGTTACTGAATGTGTCGTCACAGAAGTTTCGTCATTGTTGATTTAGTTGTATTTGTCAGATATTTCGTGAGAATTTTATTATCTTTTCGGTATCAGTTTATTATTCCGCTGGAAAATTCTATTGCGAGGGTATCTACAAATTTTTATTTATTTTTAGGCGACCGGCGCAGTTTCGTCACCGGTCTCTCGCGTCTTTCCCACGGTTACTCGTAGATATAGATATTGTCAAGTGACTAAATGTTTAAGGAATGTGTGACGCAAGATGCTCTATTTACCGAACGACTCATGTCTATCACCGATCGATTATCATTGCCGCAACTTCGCGGAAGGAAGGAATCGTGGAGTCGCCAAGACGTAACAGTATTATACTAGTCAATTTTTTACTATCTTGTTTTTTTATCGAAATATAAAAAGATCAATTCAAAAAAGAATATTGGGCCATTTAAAAAACCGAAGGTGACTTTTAAATCTCGATAAAAAAGCAAGGCAAAACAATGAATATATAATTAATGTTTAATTTTGAGATGTCGCCAGTAAATAAATTAAAGGAGTGTTTGTATATATCCGACCCAACTGGCAATTTATTGTTTGATTGTGATCACAACGTTTCGACCATATGGTTTTGGTCCTTATCAAGTGAACTAAAATTACAATATTAAATAATGACAATCACGTTAAATGAAATAAACAAATTTATGTACCTGCGTTATAGTTAGAGTTGAAAGAGAAAAAGTCGCTATGTCATAATGACACTGTGTCAACCTCTCTGTTTAAGATACTGAGAAAGACTAAACGACCTTTATTAATCTATCGTATATGTTATTTAAATTCTCTGTATCCTTTTGAGAGTTAATAGTGTTGTCATATTTTTTAATAAAAAACATTTCAGCTATTTCTCTCTTTCTTACATGTTTTTCAGTATGCAGAATATCAGGCGTTGACCAATCGAAGTCATGATCAAATTCTAATTTGTGTTTACTAATTACGGAAAGATTACTTGCGTGCATTTTTATGTTATTAAAATGTTCTTTCACGCGGGTATTTAAATGTCTTTTCGTTTGACCAATATATGAAGCGCTACAGTCCTTGCAATTTATTTTATAAACGACTTCCGTTCTATTGCTAATAGGCAGTCCATCTTTACCACGTTTAATCAATGAGTTTAATTTTTTAGGTATATTGTAGACAACAGTAAAACCCATATTTTTAAACAACCGACCGATATTGTCACTCAAACCTTCAACAAATGGTAATGCAATGTAAGAGGGTTTGTCTACATTATTTTCCTCAGTACTCGGAACAACATCACCACGGTGTTTCAAAAAATCAAGTCTCTTACCAACATAACGGTTAATAACGTGTCTCGGAAAACAATTATTGAGTAAAATCCGTTTCACGACATCAATATTTTTAACATGAAACTGATCGTCAGATAGTAAAATAGCATGGTCAACGAGATTAAAAATGGTGTTTATTTTATATTTAAAAGGATGGTTAGAATAAAAATTAATATATCTATTGGAACAAGTAGGTTTTCTATACCAATTAGTTAAAATTTTTCCATTAAAACGGATAACAGTGGTGTCCAAGAAGTTAATACATGAGTCGGACTCTATTTCATGCGTGAATTTTAAGCGTTGGTGATAACTGTTGAAAACTAACTCAATCTCGTCAACTTTTGCACGTGGAACGATGGCAAAGATATCATCCACGTATCTATAATAAACAGGCACGGTAAAACTTAACGAACTCAAACAATGTGTCTCCAAATCATCCATCACAATATCTGCCAAAATAGGTGATAAAGGAGATCCCATAGGACTGCCAAAGATCTGCTCATAAAACTGTCCATTGAAAGAAAAACTAGTCGAATTTAGAACAATTTCCACTGCATGTAAAAACTGAAGCAAGTTAAAATTCGTATTCGGAGCAATGTCATTCCAACGTTTTTCGATAGCGCGCAAAACTAACTCTTTGGGAATATTAGTAAATAATGCAGTAACGTCAAGTGAGATCATTATTTCGTCATCATTAATAAGCTTCTCCTTCATAACAGCAGCAAAAGACCAGCCATCCTTGATATGAGATTTAGGTTGCAAATTAGAATTATGTAAAATATCATGAATGAACTTCGATACATTATACAACGGGCTGTTCAGTGACGATACAATAATACGTAATGGAAAACCAGTTTTATGAATCTTGGGCAATCCGTAACATCGTGGCAAATTGCCGTTAGTAATGTTTAAATATTTGTACGTGGACACATCTATTAAACCGTTATTGTGCCAAGATTTAACAAGTAAATTTATTTTGTTAGTTAACTGTCTGATTGGGTCTTTGTTCACTTTTTTGTACGTAGATTGGTCATTTAATATAGATTCCATTTTTTCCAAGTAATCTTTCTTATCCATAACTACTGTAACTTGACCTTTATCTGCTCTAGTAACAAAAATATCATCGTTATTTCGTAAAAATTCTTTACAGAGAGAGAATCCCTTCAGAATGTATCTGTCTGAAAGGTTAATATGTTTACTTCTACATAAGAATCTCTCGAGAGAATTTGCAACTGAGATTCTAGTTGTCTCGATTAGTTCATAAGGAATGTGACGGTAATTCGTTTCTAAATTAATTTTTTTACTTCGATGCAGAAGATACGATTTACATATTCAGAATATTCAGAATTTAAAAGTAAACATTTCTTTTCATAGTAACAGCGTCAACCGTAGAATCAAAAGTATTACGAAAAATTACTTATTGAATTCGGGCTGTTCAGTGACGATACAATAATACGTAATGGAAAACCAGTTTTATGAATCTTGGGCAATCCGTAACATCGTGGCAAATTGCCGTTAGTAATGTTTAAATATTTGTACGTGGACACATCTATTAAACCGTTATTGTGCCAAGATTTAACAAGTAAATTTATTTTGTTAGTTAACTGTCTGATTGGGTCTTTCTTCAATTTTTAAACATGAGCAGTAAGAATATTCCTGAGAGGGTTTTCGAGCTTTTAAGCCTTGGTGATAATTTCGGTTTACCGTTGCATCAATCTCATAAAAAGGACCGTATTAATATTGTACTTGAGACTGTGAAAAATTCAGAAACGAATTACCGTCACATTCCTTATGAACTAATCGAGACAACTAGAATCTCAGTTGCAAATTCTCTCGAGAGATTCTTATGTAGAAGTAAACATATTAACCTTTCAGACAGATACATTCTGAAGGGATTCTCTCTCTGTAAGGAATTTTTACGAAATAACGATGATATTTTTGTTACTAGAGCAGATAAAGGTCAAGTTACAGTAGTTATGGATAAGAAAGATTACTTGGAAAAAATGGAATCTATATTAAATGACCAATCTACGTACAAAAAAGTGAACAAAGACCCAATCAGACAGTTAACTAACAAAATAAATTTACTTGTTAAATCTTGGCACAATAACGGTTTAATAGATGTGTCCACGTACAAATATTTAAACATTACTAACGGCAATTTGCCACGATGTTACGGATTGCCCAAGATTCATAAAACTGGTTTTCCATTACGTATTATTGTATCGTCACTGAACAGCCCGTTGTATAATGTATCGAAGTTCATTCATGATATTTTACATAATTCTAATTTGCAACCTAAATCTCATATCAAGGATGGCTGGTCTTTTGCTGCTGTTATGAAGGAGAAGCTTATTAATGATGACGAAATAATGATCTCACTTGACGTTACTGCATTATTTACTAATATTCCCAAAGAGTTAGTTTTGCGCGCTATCGAAAAACGTTGGAATGACATTGCTCCGAATACGAATTTTAACTTGCTTCAGTTTTTACATGCAGTGGAAATTGTTCTAAATTCGACTAGTTTTTCTTTTAATGGACAGTTTTATGAGCAGATCTTTGGCAGTCCTATGGGATCTCCTTTATCACCTATTTTGGCAGATATTGTGATGGATGATTTGGAGACACATTGTTTGAGTTCGTTAAGTTTTGCCGTGCCTGTTTATTATAGATACGTGGATGATATCTTTGCCATCGTTCCACGTGCAAAAGTTGACGAGATTGAGTTAGTTTTCAACAGTTATCACCAACGCTTAAAATTCACGCATGAAATAGAGTCCGACTCATGTATTAACTTCTTGGACACCACTGTTATCCGTTTTAATGGAAAAATTTTAACTAATTGGTATAGAAAACCTACTTGTTCCAATAGATATATTAATTTTTATTCTAACCATCCTTTTAAATATAAAATGAACACCATTTTTAATCTCGTTGACCATGCTATTTTACTATCTGACGATCAGTTTCATGTTAAAAATATTGATGTCGTGAAACGGATTTTACTCAATAATTGTTTTCCGATACACGTTATTAACCGTTATGTTGGTAAGAGATTTGATTTTTTGAAACACCGTGGTGATGTTGTTCCGAGTACTGAGGAAAATAATGTAGACAAACCCTCTTACATTGCATTACCATTTGTTGAAGGTTTGAGTGACAATATCGGTCGGTTGTTTAAAAATATGGGTTTTACTGTTGTCTACAATATACCTAAAAAATTAAACTCATTGATTAAACGTGGTAAAGATGGACTGCCTATTAGCAATAGAACGGAAGTTGTTTATAAAATAAATTGCAAGGACTGTAGCGCTTCATATATTGGCGAAAAGAAAAGACATTTAAGTACCCGCGTGAAAGAACATTTTAATAACATAAAAATGCACGCAAGTAATCTTTCCGTAATTAGTAAAATTAGAATTTTGATCATGACTTCGATTTGTCAACGCCTGATATTCTGCATACTGAAAAACATGTAAGAAAGAGAGAAATAGCTGAAATGTTTTTTATTAAAAAATATGACAACACTATTAACTCTCAAAAGGATACAGAGAATTTAAATAACATATACGATAGATTAATAAAGGTCGTTTAGTCTTTCTCAGTATCTTAAACAGAGAGGTTGACACAGTGTCATTATGACATAGCGACTTTTTCTCTTTCAACTCTAACTATAACGCAGGTACATAAATTTGTTTATTTCATTTTTATAACGTGATTGTCATTATTTAATATTGTAATTTTAGTTCACTTGATAAGGACCAAAACCATATGGTCGAAACGTTGTGATCACAATCAAACAATAAATAGCCAGTTGGGTCGGATATATATAAACACTCCTTTAATTTATTTACTGGCGACATCTCAAAATTAAACATTAATTATATTATATTCTATAACATTGTTCAAATTTTCATGTTATCCTATCCAAATAATCAGCATTTACACATGTTATTCAATGAGAATTTATGAAGCACAATCATTTATATATTTCAATGTGATACAATCCAATTCATACAAACTCTATCTGAATTGAATCCTATAACATCCTATTCATCAATTCCCTCCGCTATTCTATAAGTTTAATGAATATTTATATATATGAAACAATAT